AAATTGGATCAAGATGGTACTTTAAAGATGTCATTTTTCGATTTTATCAATAGTTATTTAATGTCACGGTAAAAACCACCGAAAAATTACAAAAAACCGCTAAAAATTGGATTTTAATTTCTAACTCTTTGTTTATTACCATAGAAACGAATAAAAAATAATAATATTATAATATTAATTCAACTTGCATGATATAATAATTAATGACAATATTAAATATCTAGACTGACAAACCGTTTCCGCTCAGAATCGTTTTTCTTATACAATGATAGAATATAACGCACTTGTAATCTACTGTGCAGCAGAGCGACATCCACTTACCTGCTTTTTTTATTTTTTTATTTTTTGTGAATACAGAATAACGACATATTTTACCAAAAGAAATATCAAAAAGTTTGTGCTAAGCATTTTTTTTTTTTTTTTGGTACAATAGTGATGCTCACACTCTTGGGGTTCAAGGGCTATAGAATATTTTTAGTTGAGATTCAGATGAAATGACTAAACATTAATTGTTATTCAGTTTTCTTTGGTTTCTTTTAGATATTGACTGAACGAGTTTACTCAATAAGGTATGCTTAACACATTTATTAGGTATTTATAATTTTAAACAATGTCCTATATGATTTTTTTAAAACTCTAATTATATCCAGCTATGATAATATTATCAAAGGCAACTATTTTGAATAAATAGTATCCAAGTGCTAAGTACATTATAGTATTTCATTATATTATAACATTTTTAATTAGATTCTATAGGCATATAAATTTTTTTTTTTAAATATGGTCTACTGCTTATTAACAATTAACCATAAAAAAGGGACGTTGTCATTTGTAAAACAGAAATTTGTCATAAGTGGGCGGGGAGCGGGGAATAATCAACTCAGTTTTGAAATCCTCTAGATCTTCTTCGTTGAGGTTCCCAATACAATGCTATTCGTGCTTGCTGTTTCATTCTCCTCACTTCTCATTATATGGTCTAACTATCGTAATATAGTATATTATACATCTTTTAATAAGTCAAAAGCTATTTGTTAGAATTTCGATTTAAATGAAACAAAATGCTCGAATGGCACCACGGTTTACTTTTGGGTGGTTGACTTACAAACGTGGATTTCATAAAAAAAAAAAATAAGTATGTATCGGCGCAGCCGTGCAGTATGTACTTCTTAAACAGTAAACAATAATCTAAGCTTTTAAAAAAAAAATTGATCCATCGAAGTACTATACTTAATATAATATTACAGAAATACAAATTATAGAATAAATGCACATTATTAAAGGAAAAAGAAGTGTTGAGCATGCTCGCTGAATCAACCTATATAATAGGTGTGTCCTGCTGCAGCTTTTGCAGTTATTGTTTGTGTTAAACACGATTCAGTGATGTTTTACATAATATATAATAATATACCTTATTTAGGTACTTAATTATTTGTAAATAATCAACCTTAAGTCGTTATCCTTTGAATAAATAATAAATGTAGATACGCCAACTTTAAATATAAACCGTGAAGTTGTTTATCAATATTTTACAATAATTGGTCAAATTCATTGTTTTACTAATATTTTTATTCGATGAACTTCTTCTTCTTCTTCTAGGTTATTAAAGGCCATTAAGGCCCATTACCGCAACACAAACTTGCTTCCATCTGTCTCTATCCTGTGCTATTGTTTCTCCGTCTCGTATTCCAATCTCTGCTAAATTCTTCTCCACTTTGTCAATCCACCTTTATTTCGGCCTGCCAAGTGGTCTTTGAACCAAAGATGAATTTATCATCGTATATTGTGTATAAAATGTAAATGGTTATTCTCTACCTAAACAGTTGTAAATGCGTTGCAAATGTTGTATTATTAATGCTGTTTATTATTTCGAGAGCGAACAATTTAAATAATAATTTGTTTATCGGTTTGAATTCTATTATTTCGTTTCGTTTTCATTATATTTATGACCATTAAAATCTTATAAACATTTCACGGATATGAAATGTTTGCTGTTAACGAAAAGCTATTATCATTTACTACTTTATTTAGTGATTCATGGTTTTATTGTTTTTAGGTGTCGCAATTTTCCAATTAAGTTTGTGATTATGTGTTCAAAGTGTTGACAAAAATACGACATAAGTATCTACGTTGTAAAACTCCGCTTTTCTAATTGACAATAATGAATATTTTTATCGGCCATTATAATTTTCCGTCTCGACGAACACATGATTTCCTCTAGCTTGAGCACTCACTGTAGATTTCCCACGTTCCATCAGTAAACAACAACAGTGACCGGCACTACCCATTGCTTTAAAATATAGAGACAATTACTTATTATTAATAATAATTAATTAATTTGTTTGTACAGAACAAATTATAAAAAACTATGAATTATTTTTCCACACTGACAAACCATCACCGCTCAGAATCGTTTTTCGTAAACAATGATATTATATCATTGAATTCAAATGTAATACCATCCATTATACAGTGACCCACTTGAAACCTACTGTACAGCGGATTGACATCCACTTACCCACCTATTTGAAATTAATATTATGTTTTTTGACTCTCGCAGAGAAATAAATGCAATTTATATTCAAACGATATTCACAATTCAATCAAATATGACGTAGGTAACCTGTTACATTATTAAATATTGACGAAAGTGAAGACTTGACTGAAGTGTTAACGGTTTTTTTTTTTTAGTGATTTGATTTTGAACTAACCTTTTTCATGCTGTTTGTGGTAAACAACAATAATATAATATCATTCTAAAAAAAAGTACATCTCGTTTGCCATTGCAGCCTTATACGCTGTTTTATCAAATCGTAAGCCAGTAGGGAGTACTCAAGTACCTATAATATATTAATAAAGTATAATATATAATAAGTTACATTATACTTTACTGTTTTAATGTCTCCCATCGTCATTGATAACGCTACAATCGATATCGATGGACGATGATTATAATATAATGTACTAGCTGATCCCGTGCACTTCGTCGCCCGTTAAATGGATCAACTCAATACTACCTACTCAAACTTTGTTCAATTCATTAACGTGTATGGTGTTCAAAATTTATCTTATCTTTCCCGTTGCCCTGAATAAAAATTCTGAATCGCAGCAGTACATTATCAGGTAGGCAATCTACCTGCGGTAGATCGCGGACCCCGTGCTGTTTGTACGGAAGTGTATGATTTAACTCTAAAGTATCAAAGTTATACCAAGTTTATTTTGATGTAATACTGTGGATTAATATAATAAATTTGGTTGCTCGTAAAAAATCGCAACTCTTAAAAAAATTATGATTGTTGAACTCCTTTTGGGTGTAATTTTCTGCGGTAAGTGCAACTCTGCCACCCTGGTAAGCATTGTTCAATAATTCGATTTGATGCAAGCTTGTACCTGATCTGCCCGAATAACCAATGGCAACCAATAAATAAATGCTAATTTCTAATGTAGACTGTAACCAATGGCAACTATAAATAAATAAAAATAAAATTTCCAATTTCTATCGTGAATCTCAATGTCCCTGTTTCAGCACCTATTTAAAATGCGAATTTTGGCAAATCCTTTCTTAGCGCACGTCTATATTATAATAGCTATCTGTATGCCAAATTTCAGCCAGATCCGTCCAATGGTTTGAGCTGTGCGTTGATAGCAGTCAATCAGCTTACTGTTTTTTATATACAGATATGGTTGCCATGGTAATATGGACACACACACACACACACACACACACACACACACACACTGACATACATTCATTTTTATATATATAGATTGATATGAAATCTTGGTAACCTTAGTAACCATGGCAACCTTGGTAACCATGGTAACATGGACACACAGACACACAGACACACTGACATACATTCATTTTTATATATATAGATATACCGGAAATCGTATTGAAAATAATAATTATATTATATTGCACCGTATAGAAGTTCGTTGTGTAGTGCCTATACCTAGCTCCTACCTATAATATATTGGTAGACAGGTAACCTTTATTTTATTATGAAGTGTCATAAAAACACATTAAAACGTGTAGACTGTACGAGTGTCGCAATACGTTTTTGTGGTGAGAAATAGCGTGGACGTCCAGCAAAAAGATGACTGCTCCATCGGTGTTACATGTTTTGAGAGGACGTCGTAAAATATCTTTGTCCCGGCACAGGTTAGGTCATTAAAAATTTAAAAGTTGAATAAAATATCCAACATATTTGATTTCAGTTAGGCAGTTCAATAGCAAGGTCGTCTTTCTCGTATTCCTCCTCCTCTTACAGTATAATAATAATAATATATATATAGTAGTATTATCATGATGATTGGTGAGCATAATATACATATAATATAATATGAATTATTGTTAATAACACTACCGTCGCAATGTTAAAACTTCGTTAGTAATATTATTATACAGGTGTAAAAACTTTTATTTTATAATAAAATTATTCTATGGACGGAATCCAATTTTCGTCGGCGACGAACGTTTAGCCGAGGAGAACTAGTCGCGATGACACTCGAATTTCCGTTCAAATCTCACTTCATCACACCGCTCACGGTCACATATTATCTTATAATACACGTATTTAGTATTAATTATTATAAAAAAATATCATATGTAGGTACACATGGGGTCATCTTACGCCGATGTTATATACGAAGCGTTTCCGAGCGTTTTACGATTCAGGAAGTCCTGGGAACGACGTGGTCCTATATTATATTGTTATGACGATAAGTGTGACCAGAGAGGACAGTAGGTCCTACCCATCGTCAAACCCCAGAACCACGGTATACATGAGCTGCTGCACACGAGTCGGACCTCGAGAGGTTCATTTTCTTTGCGATCTTTGCGCAGGAAGCTATAATATATAACACGTGTTATACGCGTCTCTCGTCTTATCGCTGCTGTGCATTAGTCGCTCGGTTTCATATGATCACGACAATGTGACGGAAAGAGATATATAACAATCGTAATATATAAAATATAAATTAAAGAATAAGCCAAAAACATGCCCGGGTCGTTGTGTTTGGTAAATGTCACTTCGTCCGTTATTATATACACTACAATCGACTGAATATTTTGAAACGCTTGCAATTTATCGTGCTCATATTTTTATTTTTATTGTTTAGGAGACCCCTGGTCAGACGTCCAAAAATCGACCGCAAAATCAACCAGGAGTGGTGTTGTATTCGTCGTCGGGAAGTGACCACAGTCTCGGAAGAGAGAGGTCGCCGACCATTAGCAGCTACCCAAAAGGATCTCCTTCGCTGTGGACAGGTGAGTGACGTTAAATGAGGTTTTCAAAAATCCGTATCAGACTTTTTTTTTATACAGTATTAAGCTCATAATATAATAATGACAATATACCTGATACACGCATTTAAAAGTGTAATCGTTTATGTTTATAAACTATATACATGGTTATTACTTAACATAATATACGGCCATATAGAGTAGGTAGGTACTGATAGTATAGGAACATATTTTAAGTGTGTTATTTACATTTTTCCATACAATGAAACAAATAACAATATACTTTTACGTCCGTCGACATTTACAACACTATTGATTCAAATTCAGTTGGTACCTATATTGTTGTTATAGCTGCGGTATAACGTGTTTAATTTTCATCATTTATTAGCTATTTACAATTAATAATATTTCAAGTAATGTTCAAACTATTAATAATTAATATGATACAGAATTAAGTATGGGTAAATATTTTTCAATTATTTAATGACTTAAATTATTATTTATAATAATTATATAATTTATATTTATTATAAAGGTAGGTAGGTATTGTTATTTTTTAATAAAACTAAAATACATGCTCGATTCATGTAGGTACCTATAGGATTATAAATTAATATTCAATTTTAAATAGTAATGCTTAATCTAGAGTATGTCAGTGCAAAAGTTTTTCCTTTTCAGGCCAACGAGCAATATTGTAGATAAACCACATTCATATAAAATCGTTTTCACGATAAGTTATATATTAGAAAAATTACAGGGGGTAATATTTTTGATGGTTTGACACGTTATAGTTTTAATGTTTTATTATCATTTAACATTTGACTTCATATTTGAAAAAAAAAAATATGTAAATTTAAATGTGTATTAAATTGTTTTGAAACAATAAATATTATGTTTAAACAAATTGATATGTCATATCTTCAAAAATATTATTCTCTATAATTTTTGTAATGTGTGGTTTTACTCTAAGATTACTGAAAACCATGAAAAAAAATATTATTTTGCATGAAGGAGTTTTGACAATGTTGCGCGTTGTTCAGGCTGATAGAACAGTGCAGCACATCCTCTTAAGAAGACGTTGCAACCGCATGTGTTGTCTCCGTCTTATGAATGTACAACATAGCAAAAACTGTTTAGCGAGGTAAAGAACCGAAAATGCTAGTCATAACTAAGAAACGAAATTTTCATCTCATAAAAAGAAAAACTTTGGCTGAACAATATTATACGAACAAAGTTTTTATTGTTTCAAAATCCATTATTATTTGTGTTTTTCAAACTTTAATAACTTTTTTTTGAAGTTCCGATATCCGAAAAATAAAAACGATATTGCACAGCCAAAGTTCTTCTCTTTTTGTGGTGAAAATTTTGTTTCTTAGTTATGACTGTAGCCTTCTCGGTTTTTTCCCTCACCAAAACAGTTTTTGCTATGCCGTACGTGTGTAAGACGTACAGCATTGAACACAGCATATTTGTGTTCCATAGTTCCAATTTAGTATGGCAACCTTTAACAATAGAGTGAACTGATCTATTATCAAACTCAAAGGTAAGAACATTGTTTATATGTTTACATGAATTACGATCGCGATATATTAACTTTTTAAATTGTAATATTTTAAGTTCTCTAAACTCTAAACTTGCTTGATAATTAAAATACCAATAAAAATCTCATGTGATACATAGATGTTCTTATACCTTTAAATTTAATAACAGGTCAATTCACTATATTGTTAAAGGTTACCATACTAAATCGGAACTGCAGAACACAAAATTGCTATGTTGTACGTTTGTAAGACGGAGACAATACACGGGGGGGGGGGTGTTGCCAGTGGAGTAATTTGGTCATGCTCGTGGGGGGAGGGGATTGAAACATTTCCTCCTCCCTACAAAAAAAAATTTGGTTTATATCATAAAAACCTTTAAGTCCAACCATTGTAATTTGTAAATTTGTAATGTGTAAAATTTAAGTAGGTAATGTACATAATACATATTAAAATAAATAATTAAATACTATTTAATAAAGCTTTGGAATTTACTTTCTTTTAGTAATTTAGTAGATTCTTGGAATAATAAACGTAGACGTTAAATACTCAAAATTACGAACTTCAAAAGGTTATAACTTTGAAACTAAGTCCCACTGACAAAATTAGAAATTATCAGAAATTCTGATTGTATTAAATCATTGAAATATACATATAGGTTTCCCAAAAAAATTCTCAAAATCGCCTGTGCACATGCCGTTGAGCTATGCCGTTGTTATGCCATACCTATTTCAATAATATTATATTTGTGCAATATTGCATTAGTGATTAGTGTTTATACTTAATTACGAAGTAATATTAAATCTTATTTATGTACAGCTACCATAGGGGATTCGGGTTTTTATGTATTGTTTCTATAATATTATATACTTTATTAGTAGGTACCTATAAATAATATTATTTATAGTTAAATAAGAACTTAAATATGGTTTGCTAGTTTAAAAAAAAAATCATGATGATATGACACCCAAATCCCCCCCTACCCCGTAATTACGACACTGGGTGTGGCGCCCTCTCAAGTTATAACATAAATATAGGATAACCATATTATTATTATTATTATATTATTTGTCCTATTAACATAAACTATAATTATATTGAAATTAAAAATAGCAGATTTGACCTAGTATGATTATAATAACATATGCCAAAGTCGATCAAAATATTATGTCAGTTATAAAAATTCAGTACACTTTATGAATTGAATTTCGATAGTCGATGGCAAAAGTTTTATTTTCTCAATAGTAAATTGAATCAATTACAGACCATATAGGTACCCATTGTACCTAAATTAATAAAAATGAATTGTGCATTTGTACACATATTATAATATTATATTATGTTTTACTGTATTTAAATATTGACAATACTATAACAATTATTATTAAGTTGAATGTTCTATTTACAATCACATGCAATTTCATTTCATGCTCATTTCTATGAAATTCTTGTTATAAGTTAAAAATAAATCAATCAAAGACCAAATAGTTTATTGTATCGTCGTTGGTTGTAAGCACTATTATTATTGTCACTTGTTATACTATACGGACTGCCACGTGCCCACGTGTGGTTTAGATTGAGTGTAAATTAAAAACTTGCTCACTTTTATACCAACACGCGGCGTTCGACGAAGAGCTCAATAGAGCAAATTACTTTTCTGGAATTAAATAAATAATGAACTTTTCAGTAAAAAAAAAAAAAAAAAATCATATTATTAGTACACGATGACGATGTTATTATTTATTAATGTGAAATAATAACTCAGCAGTCGAGTGCGTTCGTCCATTTAAAATCGATTGATTGAATTTTTTTTTATCTGACAGGCACTTGCAGCCCATTAGGTGGTTCGCAATTTTCGTTGGCCACTCAAAACACGTGCTGTTGTCAGCATGTGGTTAACAACTGCAAAATGATGATAGAAAACAACAATAATATGTGGCAACAAAATTCGTTCAAACACAATAGAGTAAGAATTTATATAATAAGGTATTCACATAAATACATTAACATAGTATTATAGTGACGTGTTTTTAATTATTCGCAAAACATCGGCAAAGGTTTGGAGAGAATCGGTCAACGAGCGGATGGGGAACTGGAAAGGGGTCAACGCTTGCATTTTTATCTTTTATTTATTTATTTATAAAAGCTAACGCCTTTCGGCTTTTCTACATTAATTCCAACATCGCTGCATGAGAAGGTCGTGGTGTTATTGGAAAAACGGTGTTCTCCCGGTTATCCATTAACATTGTATCTCTAGGTCTAGGGGATCGAAGTATAAGTTACCGTTAAAACCTAGATTACCTAATTGATTCTAGAATTTACTATATAATATTTTGAACTCAGTAAAAGCTAAAAACATCATTTTACTCGCGAGCTTTTACTAAAAACATTGTGCACATCCCAGGATGTATAGTTAAAATTAATGTTGAGTTACCTAGTAAAAGCAACTGATTAATACACGACAGAAAACTAATATAATTTTTGAAAAAGTTTGAATTGTTATTCCAAGTAAAATATATATAAAAACACTAATAATTCAATTAAAGAAATACTTATGTTAAATTAATTGCCTATACGTTTGAAAATTAAGGAACGGCACAATAATTGTATATTTTTTACTTTTTTACGTGAAAAACACAATACGATTGAGCACTAAAAAATAATGAGGTTGTCCTTTTTACATACTGCCAATTCAGCACCGATTGTGAACCAAAGATAAGTCAGTTTATAGGAGCGGTACAATTACGAAATAAATTCCACGCACTAATAACAACTCTGTAATAATATAAAAAAAAACTAATCATAATTGATTTACATATACCTACTTACCCAATACTCGGGAACTCTGTGTTTATATTATTCTACTGCATTCTCATTTATTTATACATTTTTTTTTTCAGTTTTAATAATAAAAATTATACCATTCATATAACTTATCTAATCATTACTTAATGTATTTGTTACTTTTTCGCAGGGCAATAATGGGGGGCCTAAAAATTCAAATGGGGAACCATACGAAGACAGTGACGGTCTAACGTGGAGGAGGTTGCACATGAGCAGAGCAAAACTCAAAGCTACAGCTACCACATCTGAACTCTTATCCGGATTTGCTATGGTAATCATGGTTTATACTTTTATAGAATTTTTGACTTGTTTACATTTTTAATACAATACTTGCTTAATACATTCGTTACCCATAAATATTAAATATTATTACTTCTGGTGGGAAGTTCATTTTTCATATCATAGAAAATTCTATAACATTCTGGGAAATAAAAACTATGGAACGAGCATTATATCGTATATATAGAGATGAGCGCTCGATAAATGAACCATTCATAAAATCGAGTGATCCCTAGCTCATGTTAATTGTTCCTGTGCTCATAACAATAACATTATAGGTATAAAGTCATAAAGATATAATATAATATGTACTGTTCAGTGTTCCAATATGTTAATATTCTTGAGACTAGCTCTATAAATGTCTTTAAATACACTCTACACTATTTTCTGTTTACTTTCTGTATATATTTTCTGTTTATTTTCTGTTTATAATTGACTTTCTACTTAGATTTGTGATTTTTGGTATCAAATTAGATCTAGCTTGTTCTTTTTTTTGGGGGGGGGGGGGGGAGAGGAATTACAACTTAAGTGTAAATATTTTCAAAATAATTGGGAATAACGAAAAAATAAAAACGAAAATTGTTTAATATTGTTATTAAATATAAATTGTAATTGTTTGGTAGGTAACCTTGGTTACTAAAAAGTTATACCGTCTTCACTCAGAATCCTTTTTACATAGCATTAATTGATTTATCATTTAATTCAAATTCAATACATCCTTACACTGCAGACTTACTCAATGACGATAGGTACACTTGACACAAATACTGTATGGCGGAGCAAATAGGTACCTACTTACGATTACTTAAGCATTTTTTTAATGTATTATCTTGTATTAAAAATTAAAGTAAATTTATATATTATAATATATTATATAATAAAAATTAATAAAAAAAACTTAAATGATCTTGAATGAAGACATCGATCGAATGAGAGTAAATTATAGTGATTTTTTTATCCGTGCATGACGCATCTACATAATTTTTTTCAACAATTTTTCATTCGTATTACGATATTTATGAAAAAACAAAATAAGTAAATTTTAACGCATATTAGTAAAATAGCAATACAACACAGCAGAGAAAATTACACAAAAAATCTAAAATTATTAAAATTATTTAATATAACATTTTATACTTGGAATCTTTGATGCATCAAACAAAATATGTATAGCTTATACTCTGCTATTTGTATCTGTAATCTATACAAATTAGTAAATTATATAGTTTCTGAGCCCATCTAACAATATTATACGTATATTGTATATAATATATACAGCTAGTACACGCACAGAGTAACGGCGAGTGATCCATTTAGCGTAAGCCACTCAAATAGTAAACACTAACGTTTTCCAAGTATTTCTTTTGCATAACATTTTAAATTATTATTAAACAACATTTTTAGAAAAAAATTATATGTTTGTAGTAGTTATTATTCAGAGTATTTTTATAGGTTAGGTCCTAACCTATAAGGTTAGGTAACATAACGAATGTTACAATATAAATTAAATTTTGGATGCGTGGTTTATTAGTTATAGCTTTAAAAGAATACTTATTAACTATACTCGTCCAAAATTCGATTTTTATACAAATTAAAATTATTTGAAATATGAAAATGATAAAAAATTGAAAGCAAAATTGTTTTTTAGAAGAATGTTGTTCTTTAAAAATCTAGAATTATGTAAAAAAATATATTTTCAGAAACTTTAAATTTTTTTTGATATAAAGAGTGTTTTACGTTAAGTGGATCATCTGGTACATTATTAATTTAACTGCCCAAACTGTTTTTTGTAATTTTTTGTTTTGCTGTTAAATTTTTTACAATGCTTAAATTTCCAGTTGACACGATATTTTTTATTTTTTAGTAAATAATTAGGTGTGTACAAACACTTAAAAGTTAAAACTAGATAAAAACGTTATTTTGTTCAAAAGCAACTAAAACCGACGTCGGACACCCGTATGTCAGAAGTGTATTAATAGGTACTTATGTATAGCGATTTGCGAAAGCAAAAAATAGTTCTTTGAAAAAAAAAAATAATAATAACAATAAACTTAAAAACGGGAACATTCAACATATTATTGTACTCGTTTATAATATTTTCTATTAAACTAAATTAAACTTTACCACAACTCCCTAAATCAAAAAATTACGTACGTACCCACATAATATTGTAAATGTGTACTTATCTATCTGTAATGTATTGCTGCAAGTGGACGTATTTCCTGATACGTGTACAAACCAACACGCACTGCTCGAGTTCATTTGCGTCTCATTTAATGATACTCGAGTAAATGTGGAACACACCCTCATTCGTATATTATACCTATTGTTTTAAAAAATGCTCATTTAGTCATGAATGTGAAGTTTCGTTTCGTTTTTTTTTCACTATACGAACAAACGCACAATATAGTAATATGTTTTCAACCCTCGAACACTGCGCGGCTGCCGCTATGATAATATTATATAAACTCGAATGGAATAAACAAAATAATTATCGGTTTAAAACAAATACACAAACAGCTCGTTTAGGTACGCAGGCGGTACATGCGTAGGTGCGCCAAGTGTTGTCGGATGAATGTGGGTTGAATAATAATTTTAAAAAAACACATTTTATATGACATATTTATATTTGCTATACTTATGATGGAGTGAAACAATCATTTTTCTCTGAAAATCGGACGTGGTTCATCGTTTTGACCGCAGTTAGGTTTTAATATTATATTTGCTTTCGCGTGTCTGCTAGTGTGCTTTTCGAACACACGTGTTAACCGATGATAAAGAAAAAATAGGTTTTGTGTAATTTAAAATTTAAAAGGTTTTGGTTTGTTTGAATTTTAAGCCATCGGGTCACTACTATATTTTGTGAGGTCTTTACAGCAAACTGTTAAGCAGATACATTTTTTTTTTTTTAATTATTTTGAACAAATAATTTCGATCTCGATAAATAGTTTTTAAAAAAATGCATCGAGTTTTTATAAATTTAATGTTCTAATGAAAATATTATTATAAAGTCTAATAAAAAAGCCATTAATATTTATATGATAATAATAACATTATTAAAAATAGATTTTGAATTATGCAAAAATTGTAGACGAGCACTAATCCGATAAATCGCAACTTATAACCATTATGACTTATTGATCTTATAATCTCTTCAGTTAATTAAAATGTTAAAAAAAAACAACCAGCGATTTGCTATAAAATATTAAGATAATGTTTTCCTTGAAAAACAAAAATTTGTATTTACTCACATGACCACAATATATAAGTATTGAATAGAGTATATACTATATAGGTAATCCTTAAACAGTTGAATGCCATAAAAATAATAAAAATATGTTTTACGCGTGTTTTAAAATTCCAAACATCAACATTTGAATAAATTCATAAGTTAAGCGTAAAACTGCGGGGCGAGAATAATGATGGTTGAAAAAATATATGGTATATACCTACCATTTTTTAATCATTACCAAGCCCAAATAGTTAGTTGTTATAAATTATAATAGCCTATAATATAATATATTAGCTTATAGCAGTATAGCAGTAATAATAACGCAGTACATACCTAATACGATTTAAATTTTACATAAGGACTTTTTATTTGTTGTTTTAATTTTATGAATGCAATTCTTTCAAATTTTTCTTTTGTTTTTGACATTTTGACGGGAAAATACCAAATACTCTGATTTCTTACGATTAGGATTCATATTCACCGTGGTTGTAATTTGTACAAACGACAACGTACCTATTATCAAATAACTCTGCGCTTGGATCCTCTACTCAATTTTTCTCGATCGAGCACCGAATATTATATAATGCACCTACCTATATCCTTTCGTTGCGCGCTACAGGTGGCGATGGTGGAGCTGCAGATCAACGAGCCGACCATGGTGCCTGAATGGCTGTTCATCATGTTCGCGGTGTGCACCACCGTGCTGGTGGCCGTGCACATATTCGCGTTGATGATCAGCACGTACCTGTTGCCCAACGTGGACGCCATCAGCAAGCTGCAGAGCACCAAGCTGATCCAGGAGTCGCCGCACGAGCGCATGCGCGGCTTCGTCGAGCTGGCCTGGGCGTTCTCCACCGTGCTCGGACTGTTCCTGTTCCTGGTCGAGGTGGCCATACTGTGCTGGGTCAAGTTCTGGGACCACTCGTTCCGGGCCGCCATGGCCGCCACCATAATCGTCATACCGGTGCTGGTAATATTTGTGTTCTTCGTGTTCCACTTCTACCGGAACCTGGTCGTGTACAAATGCGAGTCCACCGTGTCCGACATCAAGGAACTGGAGGCCATGAAGAAGAAACTGGACGTGGCCGGTACCACCAAAGTCGTCTGACCCGCGCGGCGGCCGATCGGTAGTTTTACGTAATGTTATTATTGTTAATCCAGGGCTCGTATAAGTTCGTGTACGAACAACAAAAAAAAAACTCTCACAAGTAGTATAAGTTACGCGCACTTGTGCACTAAAAAATTTCGAAATATATGCATTTATATTCACTAAAAATAAAACACTATATGCACTTAAATATTAATATGAGTGATAAAAAAAAACATAAAGCAAATTCTGAAACAACAAGAAATCTAAATTTCTTATTTGAATCGTTAACATTATTGTCTTTCCGTAAACTAATAAAACTCATATTATACAGTAGTCGTACAACGATAAAGATAAACCAAAACAAATCTAAATTAAATTTATACGAAATAATATTATGTACTAATAACTCCTGAAAAAAATCTTCTGTATCGAAAATCGCCCAAAATATGCAAAAATATACTCTATTAAAATTTATGTTTTTATCACACTGTAGTTGAGAAACAGATTATAGGTACCTCACTCGGTATGTTTTCATATATTATGTAGCAAAAAAAAAACATGTAAATGCATGAACATACGAGCCTTGATATAATAATAATCTAATAGTAATTTATTATATCGTCGTCAAATTATTATAATATTATAATCGTTATTATTACTATTATTATCACCATTATTATTATTATTATACACATCATTCCGCGCAATATATAATATATAATTTTATTTATATATTACAAACGAAATATCGTACCTATATTATTGTTATATTATGTTATAAATTATAATACACGCGCACGTCCAGTCGATAAAATGTACCTATATTTTATATTTTTATGTTATATAAATTATAATGATCGTCGACGATGAAGCAATACCTGACAGGCTGACAAGTCAAAAAATACGATGTTTAGATGTATACCGTTTAGTAACTATATCGCACATAAATAACTATCATTAAAATTAAAACTCTATTTTAGTATCGGCTGTCAATGTTTGACAGAAATAGTCTAGTGATAATTTTGACTTGTAGTACTATCATAATAGTATATTATTCTACATATTTTTTTATTTTTCGCCCCATTCACATGAATGTATTTCCTGAAAAATTGGCTTTTTTACTCCCGATCTATTGCTTCTTCGCCTTTCTCCTATATGGGTGCAAGTCCACGGCTTACTGGAGTGCCGGTCATACATTTTTGCTTGTACTCATATTTACTTGAAAAAAATAATATATGCGTATTACCTGTAGAGGCGGTTGTAAAATACACCCGCCCCCGCAACCTATGTCGATACCCACGTTATGTATTTATACGTACACAATATACACATCACTACCACGTGTCGTGATGGAGAGATAATAATATCTATCTTTTTGTTCGTATTACTACGTGCAATACAGTGAAACCTCTAAATACCGGACACTCTGAGTCGCTCGAATTTTGTCTGCTATCCAGAGGGTTCAGCGTGGTGTTTGTAGAAAGTTTGTATGTAATTATTTTTCTTAGGTAAATCAGCCACTATGCCGCCTACAACTATGTATTGCTTCCTGCAGTTTTCCCGATATCTGATGTTGGTTCCCTATCAATCAAAAGCTCCTAAATCTTTCCCCTAACCCACCCAATACCCATAATCATGCGTGGTCTTCCTCCAATCAGTATTTTTCCAATTGGATTTTTTTCAAGCATTATTTTATGATACTAATATGAGTCGATTTTGACTGTACGCCAAGCGTGCCCAGCCCACTGGTAATCTTTTGTTCCTCATCGTTTCGAGTGTGTTCGGTTCGTGAAAGAGTTTTTTTCTAATTCATCATTCTTCCTTATTCTCTACTCATCACTTAGTGTCCTTTGCGTCGTTTACAGGTTCATAAATCTTCCGTAGTATTTTTCTTTCCAGAACTGAGAGTTTTCTTTCATCGTTTTTCTCCTAACGACTATGTATCTGCAGCTCGATAAGTAATTACAGGACTCACCGATGTAATGTATGAATGTTACAACATAATATGTATTTAACTGTAATATTGTAATTCGTAATACATTATTCTGACCTACAAACTTTCAAATTTGAAAGCGTATGGACCGTTGGATAGCCGCCAATGCTCTTATCACATGGTAGCTCGACAATTTGACTGGTTACCTAACAAAAGGTTGTACGACAATTCATTATTGTTTTTTTTAAATAGTTTGATATCAAATAGTATTATATAATTATATAGTTAAATATTATTATTAATGGTATTATATTCTAACTGTAAGAATGTATTTTTTTTTTAAATTATTTTTTTCAGAAAATGTATCCAAATAACTTTTTATCACTATCGATTTTGTGTCACTTTATAAACAATATAATATTTGGATTACAGCTAAATTTGAAAATTTTTTTCGTACCATCATAAACATACACTCCTCCTATACCAAGTATTAGTATTTCTAATATAATACCTACCTACTACATAACCTTATGTCCTTATCACGAGACGCAGACGGGATATTGGAAAAATATTAAAGCGACTATATGTCTATATATCAACCTGACGAGTTTGGATAAACTATTCTGTTTAGAGAGTTCCTACGATTTTTATATAAGCTAATAAATATTAATTTTATGTCTAAATAAATAAAATATAAATAAAATTAAACCTAACCATATTAAAACGCATGCTGCAATGACCGGAAAAAATCACTCAAAATATACAGAAAAAAGTGGATGCTATAAACGGACGGATCTCCGATTATTTTTTAATGAATTATAGGTAACATTAAACATTAAAGTTGTTTGATTCTGAGTTCGAGTGCAACAAGCAGACAGCTCTTTTTATTTCAATAATTTAATACAATAAGACGTTATCATACTTAAATAAAATTAGTTTTAATTAAATTAAAATTTTCTTTTTATAGTTAACGTCTTATAATACTTTAATAAAAAATATATTGAAAATGGCGAAACAACTAGTCGATGTCAAGAGGTTATCAGCTTTAGGAATTTAATTTCAGTTGGGAAACAAAATTGCGAGGTCTTGTCTTTATATATTAACATTAATTGTTATCACGTACAGAAATAAATGATATTAACAGATTCTGTTTTGGGAATTTCTTACAAAGTGTAAACAATTTTTTATTTCTCCTATAAAATTTATAAAAATGTAGTAGTCTCGTTTTCACAACAGGTTTTTTTTTAATATTAGAGGTTCTATTAACACGTACGCTGGGAATACAATTTGCATACACAGACCCCTGGTAAAAATTACCTATTCTTACTTGTTATCGTAGGTATTAAAATAGAAAAATTGTGAACCCAAATTTCACATATATATATATACATAATAATATTTATTATTATTATACTGACCAACGTTGTCGAAAAAAAGCGATTGAAACTTAACGCTGGCCAAAATAAAACTAATAGAAAACAAATATAATAGCGACCGTGTTAGGTAGAAAATCGTATGCCCAAATCGACGAAAATATACTCTCTACAAGTGATGTAGTGATGAATTTTGTTGCGGTGAACTTAGTTTTAGATTCTGAGCGGAACGAGGAAGCTAGTGGTTTTACAATGGTGTTTATTTATTTATTTATTTTTATAATCTGTATACAAAATGTCTACCAAAAGGAGTTCTTCGATTTCACCTGGTACCTTATATTTTAGAAAATTGGATTAAGATGGTACTTTAAAGAGGTAATTTTTCGATTTTATCAATAGTTATTAAATGCCACTGTAAAAACCACCGAAAAATTACGAAAAACCGCTAAAAATTGGATTTTAATTTCTAACGCTTTGTTTATTACAATAGAAACGAATAAAAAATAATAATATTTTAATATTAATTCTACTTACATGATAATATATGCGATATAATAGTTAATGACAATATAAAATATCCATACTGACAAACCGTCTCCGCTCAGAATCGTTTTTCTCATACAATGATAGAATATCATTGAATTCGAGTTTAATACAATCCACTTAAAACCTACAATGACCCACTTGTAACCTACTGTACAGCAGAGCGACATCCACTTACCCGCTTTTTTTTCTATAGTGTTTGTTGAAGTAGAATATACTCATCACCTGTTGTCTTATGACGATCGTAAAAACAACTTTGGGTGGGCACACCAGCAGCGCTTCCCCTGGCTAAGGCCGTATAATACCTAATAATAAACTACGGAGATTAGTTGCAGCGATCGTCCGCGGAAAAGGCGTATTTTCACAGTTAAAAATTAATCTACGGATGGCATAGACTGCCGTCGTAAGTACGAAACCTCAAGATTTGTCGAAATCGATTTTTTCTGGAGTCTATGGACAGATATTTTAGTTCTCTGCCGATTTCCCTGCCTAATAAAATCACGGTTTTTCTCATTAAAACCGTATATACACAAATTGATTTGACAAGGAAGACTTTATCGTCGTATCGATGTGTACCACGGTTTTAGATAGAATCACGGCTAACCTAAAGCGACTATCTTGTATTCTATAGCGTAATCAGTATTCTATACAATCCTCCACATTCCCACGTAATCTACGGCGATAAAGTCGTGACAGCGGGCTTGTGACAGCTGGAAAGAAAACTTAAGGAATGAGATATGGACACGCGCGCCTAGCGACGCCTAATGCATGTGCTTTTTATGGGGAGGCGGGGAACAATAATTCTGCGATACCATTATACCAATTAAAACTGCTGCCGACTGCGATGCTGGTTGAGTGTTGATCGTGGTTGATGGATTGATGGGCTGGCCGGGTTGGCCGCCAACACTCACGTGGTCGGCATGGCCCATCTTCATCAAGCCGGGACAGTGGAAATTGCTGTTTGGCGGTTTTCCTGGGCACCCGACAGCTCCGCGACGTCGTCTTAGCCCATGGTTGAATTGTACGACAGTCGTGAAATTGAAACGGCACAATGTCGGACGTTTGGTGTGTCAGCTTCGGCCGGTGTACACGAGGTTTGGTGCTGGAGCTCCGAAGGAACTTGATGTTGCCGACGTTCGACTTAATCGGAGGTCGTGAGAAAAGTGATTTTGTTTTTCCGGCGAGTTTGTGTCTTGGGTCTCGTCGGTGAATTTGTTGAGGCGGGGATCAGCAGTGAAACAGATTATAGGATTTTTATACAATAATTTAAATATTATGGCTTGGAAGTTACCTGCCAATACGCGGTGGTGGTCGCGACCGTTACGACGACGGTGACAATATAGGCAGCAGCTTCGATGATAGGTCGCCGGACACTACGTATGGCGGAGGTCAGGAGACAGATGTTGAGTAACGATTTTGCTTATTTTATATTTTAGACGCGCAATAGCTTACTAATAATAATCATGCCGATTGTTGTACCGAATAGGTACGCTCATCGTAGATAATATATGAAAGGTATGCTTGGGGGAATATCCGAATATATGATAATATTAAATAATGCTTAAAATACTGTGACGTTACGAATGTATTTTATTAGTTTCGTTTTATGTTTTTATAACTAAGTAATGTGGATGTCCAATTCAATGTTTGAAAAATGTAATTTCTTTAATGGTAATATTGTAATGATTATTATTATAATAATACAAATCTGCAGAGTCATTATGAAAAGTAAAGTTAGGACTATAATAATACGTACTTATCAAAGTAGAAAATAATTAAATTTTTGATTTCATATAGGTATTATGTGTGTTTTATTATAATCAGTTTCTAAATAAAATGTTGTATTAATGTATTATTATTATTAAATTTAAATCTGTTTCTTTCTTGTAATTTATTTAATTTTATTTTCAGTTGATTGTTTGTACTGCAGTTGATAAAATTGAAAAAAAAATCATTATGGTACAGATAAATAACTCTTATGTAAGTATTCAATGTTATACACAATGTTAGACATTTATAAAATTGTAATGCTTCTTTGATATATTATTATTGTCATAAAATGTTTTTTTTTTTTTTTATTTATTTGAAGAAATCTACAATCTATACATGCTTTTTGTACAATAAGTAGGTTTGATATAAGAAAGGTAAAAATATGATATGAGTAGTTAGATTAGGGAAGATACCCAGTGGTAACACCCTATAAAATAAAATGTTAAATAAGTTAAATTGTTAACTATTACATATTTAATCCTAACCTGACGGAAACAATAATCAACACCACAATTAAACGGTAGGGATATGTAGACAGGATACCTATGTCTCTAGATTGCTATTTTCTACTAAATTCCGCCTGGATGAACATACTCATCGTGTATTAATATACATAACATAGAGATAATATAGTTATTATTAATTTTTCTTGCACTTGCACTCGAGTAAACAATTAGAGATAGAATAGTAGTTATTTATTATTCATGCAATATTAAGTGTTATTTAGTCTCTGTATATTTATACATTTTAATCATAAATATTATTAATTTGTATTATATACGCCCAGATGTGTGCGTGTATGATAAATTACCAATAGTTTAATAACCTTGCTACTGACACTAAAATCACATTTCAAAAAGTCCTTTTAAAAAAATGTTATGATGTATTTTATACAAAGTATCAACAAGAATTAAACAAATTAAAAGAGAAGATGAAAAATGATAATATGGTAAATAATTGTATTATGTTGTCATTATATTTTGTTATGGCGTATGATTATTATCATCTATGGTTCTTAACATATTATAATACCTTTAAACGTTTTTTTTTTATTCCTAATTCCTGTATGAAATTATATGTAATTCTGGATTCAAAATAAGTTTACTCATTTTTAAAGGATGGGTTCAATAATACTTATACATATAAGGTACTATTATTTGTTTACCAGGTACCACGGTTATCTACACAGGTTGGCGCACGCCACTATGATGCTAATGCAGACCTTTGGTCTATGCGGTGACCGTAGTGAACTATTAGCGCTAGTAGTCAGTGGGCCTACGTTTACATTTGTATGTACTGGGAAATCGAAGATTTTTTATTCAAATCGTTAATATCGTCCAAACAACTAAAAATACGAATTAAAAACATTACACAATTATTGTAGACCGTGAAAAGGTGATAATAACACAACCGACACCTAACCTGGAGATAACATGATAACTGCACGAAAAAGACGAACAAAATAATTTTCTAATTTCGACAATATTGTTCTGTAATCTGTATGACTGTATGTCTTTTTGTCATTACTTAATTGGTAGTAGGTAGTTTTATTGCGATGGTGGCTAAGTGTTGTATAGTTGGATGTACTTCAGGCTACAAAAGCAACACAGAAAAGGTACAACAAAATTAGTTAATTTTATAACAATTAGTTAGTTATTATATTCAATATTCAGTAGTATTTAAGAAATATTAAAATTAAGTAAAATTAAATTATCTAAAGATAAAATGTAAAGTTATGTTTTAATATAGCTTTAAATTTAGTTCATAAGTTGAAATAAATATAAATTATGTAAGTTGGTATATTATAGTATATGTATTCCTTTATTTATGTATTTAGCATCTGTTGGTGAGTTGAATATCAGTAAATCATTGGACAGTGATCATAATGCATCATCCAAAGCTGAATTAACAAATATATTACCTTTTTTTCATTATTTTTTTTTTTTGGTTTTCAGGCTACAAGAATCTTTACTGGGATGAAAAAACAAAAATAAAATTATTATAAACTGTAAATTAGTTAGGTATAAAATTAGTTATTAAGTATTAACCAACTACTAAATAGGTTTTATTACATAAAGAATAAGTAATGAACAAAGTAATAATAACATATTATGTTTATTTGATATTTTATTTTACAGATATTTTATAAATAAAATAAATTATAACTGGGTAAGAAAGACTTGTAGTCATTAATTATTATTTGCTGATGTCAGCCATTTAGAGAGTTTTTCGAAGTATAAGTCAAGTGTTGGGGGAATTATTTTTTTATGTAATTAAATTACATTAGATACTAATTAAGTACTCAGCTTTCAAATATAGTAATTAAAAAATTATAATTTATAATCACGATTAGAATTATTTCATCACGAGTGAACTCGTCCAGCCGGTAACCAGTTAGGCCTTGTGACTACTAGCGCTTTAGTTCACTGCGTTCGCCGCATCGACCATCGATAACACGCCGTGCGCCAACCTGTGTAGATAACCGTGCCAGGTACCGAAGAGGTGTATATCCACTTTAAATAATTTTCAATTCGATTTTAATAAAAAATCCATATGCAATTGCAGGTGTGTTTTGAATTAATATTATTTAATTAACTATTACATTATTTTCATTTATATAAAGTATTACTTTTGATAGATTTATTGGCGAACTCTTTAAAAAGGGTGCTTTCCCAGAAAAATATATTCTGTCATGCATTAGAGATTTAAGTAAAGAAAATAATGAAAATTATGAACTACAAATGCATTGTTTATGCACAATACTACGATTAGTAGGACCAATATTATCAAAAGTAACAACAAAAAATTGCTTATTGAATATAAGAAATGTTTTAATATAAATAGATTTTTTTCTAGACTTCATATGATTTGAACAAACCAGTTAATAAACTTGTATCCTCTATAAATAACCATGGCATGTCATCGACACTAAAATGTTTAATACAGCAAGTAAAAAGAATGCATTCCAAGGGTTGGATGAATGAGGGTAATTGTTTTTAGTTTTAAAATAATTTAAAAAACTACTGCTGTATATGGGTGTACCTCATTATTGAGTCACTGTACGTAATGTATATGTTAGCATTTTTTTTTTATAAAATAATTATATGATAAATCATTGCATATGAAAAACAATTTTGAGAAGAGATGGACATGTTTTTTTGGTAACTTGTATGGATATTGTATTTATATTGTTATTGTAATTTATTTTTCTATTAGGTAGTCATATGGTAGGTTTGTTGCTAAAACAAATTGTATATAATAATATTATATTATATTATTATTTCTTGTAATTTTTGCAGTTGTTATTAAGAAGATGTCTGTACACTTTTTTTTGCTCTCTCTAACTCCCAACATAGATAATGTGTGTTCAGCAGAACCGATCTTGTGTTGTTATTTTTAATTTTAGCTTGAAATGACCTATTATACAGCAAAGTTAAGAACATGTCGGATATGTGCATTTTTAAATTGTAAAATTGTATACACTCATAACAGTCATAACTTACTAGGGTTCGGGATTTAGAGCACCTATACATAAAAAAAAAGCACTTAAATACTTCATATACCTGTGCATTCATATACGAACTTAAAAATATTAAAATAACCAAAAAAAGCACGACAAAAACTATATCAACACAAGTTTTTTCTATATTATCGTTTAATTTTTTATTGTATTTACAGAGCCTGTCAATTTTATGGGGGAAAATTATACTGCATTTTGTGATTTACCATAACATATGAAAAGTGTGTATAGTGTAAAATCAAATATGATAATGTCTGACTGGGTTTTTGATGAAAGTCATGACCTTCTTTTCAATTTTGTCAACAATAATAAAATTGAGGTATGTTCCAATACCACCTATACCTACTGTAAATATTTTCTGATGTCAAGTACCTATATGTATATATAATTTCTATACTTACAGTTGTTAGCGAGTGGTCAAACCTCCGCTGGTTCTCTAGGCCACGGCCCTGAATCGGTAAGCCTGCCTCCTTCTGTATCACGACCGCGGTTTACGACGTTATGTGCTCCGCCGACGGGAAGTGTGTAACTGCCGTTTAAAATTTAAATAGCTACCTCAGTGCACGACGTCCATGTGCTCCGCGACTTTGTAGCTGCCGTTTAGATTGTTATTTACTATACATTTGAGAATAATATTAAAATTAAATATTCGTTAATGTTTATCGCAAGTCGCGACGTTTCTAATGCTTAATAAACGAATCAACCGTGTAACTAATTGTTTTAATTTCTCAATCCTGACACAATTAATTTTAGTAGCCAACACAGTTATTAAAAATGAGTATTTGGGCCGCGAACGTACAATACTAGACCATAAGTATCCATAATACTTGGTATCGTACTCACACACCGACCGACCAGTGACCTGTATATGTGTGTATACTTTATACATGTATGGGCAATTCGATCGAAGTGGACGGGTTCGCCGAGCAAAACTATCGAATGCTAGTGTATTTAAATTGCTGTATTACAGTAAAAAGACAATAGATATCATAATAATTAAGTACGGCCCGTATAAGCCAAAGGTTTAATTTGAGTTACACACTTCACTTTTTGTACTACAACATTTTAGGAGCTGCTATGTACACAAAATTCGATGATAAAATTACCATTTTATATTATAATTCACAAAAACAATAGTGACGGTAGACGGACCGGTCGGCTAGGTTGGAGAGTGAATTGGTGGTGTGGAGGCAATTACTCGTTGCCTCTATTTATAATAGTATACTTAATTTAATAATAATAATACTTATTTTAAATTTCAATCAATACTTTATAGTTATAGCAATTGTATGAAATAATAATATGAAAAACATAGTGCAAACGAATTAAATGCTCAGCCCTGTTTACCACATTTTTCAATATTTATTACGAATTTATCGCGAAAACGATTTCCAAGAAATCATGATTTACGCTGCTTATTAAGTAATAAAAAGATTGTTATTATACTTACAAAATTATTGTTTTTATTTTCATGCAATCATGAATTATATTATATATTAATTTATAATTATAAATAATCTTATTTATGATCAATAGTAGTGGGTAGAATGTAGAATACGTAACTTAGATTTACGTAGGTATATAAGTATTTACTTCGATCTTTTCTACTTTATTTAACTATAATATTTTCTACTTTTGAAGTATTCCTATACATTTAAACTATTTTATTATTAAAACAATGGTAAATTATATTCCAGTTAGAAATATACATTTTTTTTTGGTTAAAATAAAAAAAAATCAACTTTATAATTTAGGTGGGCCTCAGTGCACAATTTAGGAGGGGGCCCCGTTGGCATTTGCCGACTAAACGACCGTTAAATCCGCCACTGACTCTAGGAGAAGTTAGAAAGTATTGAAAAAAAAAATTATGAATTAAACTATGAACATAATATGGAGCTCAAAAATATTAATAAATCTTTAGAAAATGAGTAAAAAACAATGAAACAGGAGAAATTAAAATCAGAAACTTTAAATAAAGTAAGTTAAATTGAATTATAATACAGACAAATGTGTTGATTCCGAGCAAAGGCATTGCCATGAAATTGCTAAGGAATTGCTTAATAATATATTTGTTATCATTGTTATCTATAAACAATTAGTAATAAATTTGTATGGTTCTTTTTAATTTTAGACAAATACTGCACAACTACCCCATTATAGATCAAAAATCGTAGAATTGAAGAAGGAAATCAAAGAATTAACATCGGGGAACAAAAAACTAGAAATAGACATAAGCAATCATATATCGAAAAGTAAAGGAGTTGATGAACAACTAAAATACGCTAAAAGTGACATTTTCACTTTGACGGTAATGCTACAGAACACACGATTATTTAATATCAATGATAAGAAAAAATAAAAAAAATGTTTAGGTAAATATTAAATTCAGAATCACTGTAGCTGTCGTCGTCACCGCATCAGCGTTTGAAATGAACTCCGAAAGTTAAAATCCAACAGTTTTTCGTGTGCATAAATCATTGTTTGATCATCAGTTTGCATTTATTAAACTTTTTTTCTAACGTAAAAGGTTTTTTCAGTTATTTTATTATTAACTTTGCATTGTTGTATTGCTATTGAAATGTAATATTTGATATTAGGAATGCGTAAATAAAATTGTTTACAACTATATTATACAGACTAAAATTTACAGCGTAATATTAGGTGTAACGGCATAGGTAGCCAGGTAGGTATTTCAGTATAATATGTAACATTATTTAATCTCGTTGTTGATGAATAATATTTTCTTTTCCTTTTCATAACGAAAAATATCTTAATCAGATTATTGTAAATTAATAATTAATTTCACCATAAACGATTTTATTATTTAAAATGTATAGACATAATATATTATAAAATAATCAATTGCATTAAAACATGTTTAATTGATACACAGTTGTTAAAATCGACTTTTATAATAATATTATCTGAAATCTCATTTTTTTTAAAGAATGTCTTTTTTTAGAATTTAGTATAGTAGGTAGGTATATGTAATCTCGTATTGAATAAATAAAATATAAATGCTAACAAGTAAATTTTAATATATGTATTTATGCATAGTATTTTTTTATCGGGGTATATTATGGATAATAGTGTATAAACAACATATTATTTAAATATTATAGACACAAAAATTTTAAAATACCTATATTTTTATATTTTTATTATATTTAATTTATATGATATTATATGATTCCAATAAATAAATTACACTATTTAAAATAACGTTAAATTCTTAACCTATAATAAGTAGTTTTAGTTAAAACGTTTGACACTTAATAGATGAATGTTTTATACTTGTATACTATGCTATGCTATCTATAATATACTTCGAAATAAGATTGCTTAAATACAATAGTTATTTTATTTCGTTTTTTCTATACTTTTAACTACGTTTTAATTTTTAAGAACCGAGACGTGTCGTTTATTGAATCACTGAATATAATTACTTAGATATTATTATTATGTTTCAAACAAATATATTTAATTTATGAGTAGCTATATATTTGCATGGCAACTGAACTATATTAAAATAAACGTCGATATAATATATTTTATTCAAAAAATTTAAAAACTTAAAAATCTATAAAAAGCTTTAAAAATAAAAATATATCGAAAATCGAAATGAATAATTATAACGATGCCCCTTCCACCAGTTCTACCTGCGATACCGACACAAACAACGCTATAATAAAATATCTTAGAATGTTATCCAGTAATAAATTAAAATATATTATAACACAAATATTGGTTAGGTATCAGGACCGGCTCAAGCGAAAATAGTGAACTAGGCGAAATCAAATTTTGCCGCCCCTAATCATATAATATTATCAGACTTTATGAGTAGCTATATATTTGCATGGCAACTGAACTATATTAAAATAAACGTCGATATAATATATTTTATTCAAAAAATTTAAAAACTTAATAATCTATAAAAAGCTTTAAAAATAAAAATATCTCGAAATGAATAATTATAACGATGCCCCTTCCACCAGTTCTACCTGCGATACCGACACAAACAACGCTATAATAAAATATCTTAGAATGTTATCCAGTAATAAATTAAAATATATTATAACACAAATATTGGTTAGGTATCAGGACCGGCTCAAGCGAAAATAGTGAACTAGGCGAAATCAAATTTTGCCTCCCCTAATAATATAATATTATCAGTATTTTGAAAATGCCGCCTTCTTACTAAAATGATACTTATGTGCCCCCCTGGTCGTGGGCCTATGTCGCCTACCCCTTGAGCCGGGCCTGGAACTTAGTTTTAATGTTTTAATGTCTAACAGTCTGCCAGTCTATTACAGATTTATTTCTGAAAACTGCCGCTGAACGTTTAAACAGCTTAATTATTTGTATGAGAATGGCTTTGTCAGACATAAAAAACAACTGTCTTGATCTTAAAATAAATGATATCATGTTATTGGAAAAAATAGCAAAAATATTAGAACAATTTACAAACCTAAAATTGAACAACGGAACGAAAAATGACAATAAAAACGAACTTCAAAACGCTACTCCACCAGAGGATTTTCGAGTACTGTCTGTTTATCCTACACCAGTTGATTTAGAATACCAACGACCTTTTTTACGTCCTAACATTACAAAAGGAGCTTATCAGAGTGTAGAACATTATTTAGACGTACAGTTTCGTCTTTTACGTGAAGATTTTATTGCACCACTTCGTGAAGGGATTAAGTGTTCTAAAGAAAGTAATAAAAATCGTAACGAAAGACGGAAAAGAATTAATAATATTCGGATATATCGCAATGTTCAATTTAACGAGGAAAAAGTTTTTGTACAAGATAAATTGGGATATTTAATAAATTTCAATAAAAACAAAAAATTGAAAATCAACTGGGACATTTCTAAACGGTTAATGTATGGATCGTTATTGTTATTTACTATGAATGAATTTAATGATTTTTTCATCGGTATTGTATTGGGTCGTGATAAAAAATATTTGGCAAACGGTCAATTAATTGTAGAATTGATTGACGACTTACAGCCAGGCATGCTTACGTCATCGTTCACCATGGCCGAGAGCGAAGTGTATTTTGAACCTTATAAATGTGCCATGCAAGTTCTCCAGAACTTGAACGGTAATAATTTCCCCATGGAAAAATATATTATTTCAACATGTAATAAAGTCGAAAAACCTAATTACTTAAAATCTTTACCAGTAAAAATGTTCAATTTCAATGGCGGGGAACCATTTAATGTTTTAAACGATAATGAATGGCCTGCACAAGAAAAATTTGGACTAGACGAAATGCAATATAAAGCCTTCAAAGCAGCATTAACGAATGAATTGACGGTCATACAAGGTCCACCTGGTACTGGGAAAACATTTATTGGGTTGATGATAATCGAAACAATTATTAGAAGCATGTACCATTTTTTTGCGAAAAATAGATTACAAAATCCGATATTAGTCGTATGCTATACCAATCACGCCTTAGATCAATTTATGGAAGGTATAATAAAATTTACTACCAATGTCGTTAGAATTGGTGGCCAGACAAAATCAGATACTGTAAAAAACTATACTTTAAAGAATGTAACGAAATACCATAGGAAATCGTCCAATGTATTTAAAACCATTAGGAGTGCAACCGAAACAATTAAAAATGTGGAACATGAAATAACGTATTTTAAAAATTGTAAAGAATTTATTTCTCTAAATGCTGGTATTTTAGAATTATCCTTATTGAAAAATGGATTACCAATAATTTATCAAAATTTTTTTTCTAGTTCAATAAAGTATATTTGTTGGCTATTTTGTGATAAAGATTACTTTGATTTTGATCCAATTGACTTGATTCAGAACATAGAATTGAATACTGAACATTGTCACTCTGAAAAAATGTTAGAAGTTAATAATATTAATGACACAGAAGATGAAAATTTGCACTATGAAAATGATGACCCGGACATGGATTTTAAACACCAGGATATTGTTATTTACAGTCTTACTTTAAAATTAAGTTACTTTAAACAGTTACTAGTCGCGTTGACTCGTTTGTATTTTGTTTAGATAATCTGATCCTAAAATTTAAACTCTGAAGTATATAAATATTTATATTATAATGGATACTGTCTGTATAATAGTAATAGAATTGGCATCGGGCATCAAGCGGTGGGATGTCAACCAACAACCCATTAAATCATCCTACAAATTACAACAAATACATTTTATCACGACTTAAACTAGACGGTTATTTTTTTTAATAATTTAAATATGTGTTCATTGCTATTGTCAATTTAGATTTAATTTGAGAAAAAAATATGGGAGCCATCTGGGAGCCTGCTCGACCTCTGCACACATTATATTAGTGACTGCGTCCAATCACCGCGATTCACCAATCACCAGGTCACCATTCAATACCATCCACGTTAAATTGTATATTATTATTATATGTTTATATTATATTTACAGTTTAAATTCTTGCAAATGTATTATATAATTTGACGTATAAACAAATTGTATACAATATTAGGTACAATCCTTAATATAGCAATAGTACTGAGTAGTAAAATATATAATGGTATATACAGATTAGTGTAAATTTAATAATTTGTTGATCGTTGCCACGTCATCGATAAAATCAAATATTAAAACTCCTTGACCGTCATATTTAAAAGGTGATTTTGAAAGGCTTTAATATAGATACTTGTATATTTTAGAAAATTAAGGTTTTGGAAATATAGTTAAAATATATTAGACTAGGTACGTTATGTTATTTGGTATTAGCAAGACTTAAACAGTTAACCAAACTATTAATTAATCATAGAAATAATAAACTAGGTATAGGATCAATGGATCATAGTCAAATACAATTTTAATGTAAACATTCAAATTAATAATTATGTATATTCTTATAATGTATCTACTTTACAGAGTATGACAGTATATATATGAAAAAAAAAGAAAATTAAATATGTCCATTTATGTTCAATTATTACCTAATAATCGTTAGGGATCAAATGTGTACCGGTTATTAGGTATTTTTTCATTGCTCAACCTTTTTAAAATATATATAGATCTATTAGAAATTTGATAAAGGTATACAAATAGTATGTACCTACCTATTATAATAATTAAAAAATATAAAATGTATCAAAAAAGGATAATGAAAGGATTGCTGAATCAAAAAACTTGAAAATTTACCCATAGACCATAAGTCATTTCATATTAGAAGTTCAAAAGTAATAAACATATAAAAATTAAAGACACACATTTTTTTATGAGCATTTTAAATTCAAATTTTGACGAAATCCATCATAATCGCGAATATTATCAAATTATTTTGTATTTAAAAATGTATATAATGTTCAATATGTATAGCTAAGAACTAGAAGTCCCCCCAAGCCCCCCCCCCATTTCCGCCTATGCTCGTATACATTATAAACATATAATATAACGAGCCCATGGCTGATGGGCCTTTCGCTGATAATTTATTTTATTAAAAGCTGTTTTTGAAGAAATCTAGCTTATCAAATCTATCCTAAGTACACCTATAACTGTATAATTAATTTTAATTAATGCAATCTAAACTACGACCTGCAGTCACATCTTAATTGGTTGACGGAATATCACTTCACGCGTGAAACTTAGCACTCTCAAGTACTGTGTTGGCAGCTATTTTAAGACGAGGAACAATAATTCAATTAATTGAAAACATTACTTTGCTTTACTTTAATTCAAACACTATATTATATAAATACCAAACTTAAAAAAAGTTAAATGCTTCTTGGAAACAATTTCACTGTCCAAATATCACAATATTATAAATAAACTAATTATATTCGATTAAACAGTGTATATAGGCACAATCGTCGTCAACAAATATCAATACTAGCCAACACGGCATAATCGTAGATATTATAAGTGACGCAGTGTTTACTGTTTATACGTCATAATAATATCATAATAATAATAATGAGGGACGGAGTGGCCGAGCGGATTAGGCCTCGGTTGCGACGCACATTGGCGCCGGTTCGATGCCGGCCGCGGGTGGCATTTTTCTTCGGGCAAGTCACGGTGATGGCAGATACGGCTGCCCACTAAGAAATCTGCCAAAAGCAAAAAAACACACGTGTTTAAAAATTACAGTACCCTCCCCCACAGTAAAACGGTAAAGCACGATTGAGCATAGACCTTTTTAGCAACACGATTGGGCAATGAATATTTTATGCGATGTTGCCACATTCACGTTGCAAACATTTTGTAATTTATTATTTTCACGTATTATTACACCAATATTATTATGATATCTGCCGCGAGCCGTGGCCGAGCCCCCTCAGCTTTATCGACAATGTTATCATGTTTCCAACTTGGAAACAGATACCAAGGTATATCAATTTAATTTATTATTATTTAATTATTAGCAAAAAGATTTTTATACTGTACTATAATGTGACTACTATTGAGACTGTTATTGATTTATAAATATTTTGATTTTATTATTTTCATTAATTAAATAAATATTTTTGTATAATTCAGTTCAATATTGAAAATTACAACGTTGCAGAGTTTTTTATACTCAATCGTGTTGGTTTTCTTTTGTATTTCAATTTCCTTTGATACGCCGACGATGTATGCTCAATCGTGTCGCAAAAAAGGTGTTTTATGCTCAATCGTGTCTCAGCCCAGTAAAAACCACTCAATGGCCTACTAGTTGCCGCGGGTTAATTAATAAAAAAATAATAATAATAATAATAATAGGTAGGTATATAACGTCATTGAAGATACTTCAGGTATTACTTGTAGGTATATACAATAGTTTATTGTGTGGCATTAAGGGCTGGAAGTGATCAATTTCAGCGACAAGTCGGCAAAGGTAATGCACTATGCAGGGATATTCTATGCAACAACCAGACTATTCTACGAAAACAATTTCATGAAAGAAAATTGTTTGCTCGTCATGCAGGGAGGTTATAATATGAATATAAGATGTTGCCCACGATGTAGATAACCTATTAACCTAAAGTTTATGTTTTGTAAGGACCGTGGTATATAGTTTTCAGTGTTGCCCCAATTACTTATTCGAGAGGGGGTAACATTTATTTTACCCCCAATGATTTTTTGACATCATACAGCATACATTTTATATATACATATATCTAGTTAAGTCTCAACACAAATTAATGTGACTTTCTGGTAAGGTTTTCTTTTAACTTTTCTTTGGTAGACAGTCGAAAATTTTTTAATTTTCTCAATTTTAAATGAATTTTGTTTAAGTTTCAACTTTAGACCCATATTGAAAATAATATATTGTGGATCTGTGTTCAACTTGACCGAGAGAGAAAATTATTTATCGATGATAATTAAAAATAAAAATGTTTAATGCTCAAAAAGAGTCTATATATTTTGAATATCTATTTCTTATCAAATGGGTAGTTTATTTACCTTTTCAATCGTAAAGTACTGATTTCATATACTATTAATTATTATTGATTGCCTGTATAAATATTGATTACAGATTTTGAATCAATCTTATATTAAAAAGTACCTACATGTTATTACAACTTGTTCAAATATCTAATAACTCTAAAACAAATATTTATCACATTTGCAGGGAACACATCGATATATTATATGTCAGTGGTATCAGAAAACATTTGGCAGTAACTACAAATAAAAACCTATATGGCGTTATATTATGAACGAAAGAAATGTGAAAAAAAAATAACAATAATAATAATATAATAAAGAAGGGATATTATTATTAAATGACGCATTGAGAAACAGACGGCAGTCGAGTGAGCGAATTTATTTTTAATAGCAGTAATTAATGCATAATATGCTACAAAATAAGGTCCACTACTGCAGGTTTGGATGTATAAAATATATATTACTAGCTGATCCCGTGCACTTCGTTTCCCGTTAAATGTACCAACTCTATATGACTCAAACATTGTTCAATGCGTTATTTAATATTCGGTGTATGATGTTCTAGATTTATCTTAACTTTTCTGTTGCCCGGAATAAAAATTCTGAATTGCAGCAGTACATTATCAGATAGGTAATTTACCTGCGGTAGATCGCGGACCCCGTGCTGTTTGTACGTAAGTGTATGATTTAACTCTAAAGTATCAAAGTTATACCAAGTTTATCGTTTTTACTTCATTTCGCCTACCTATAAATCCTAACCTAACATAACCGTACTAAAATCCGATGAATAAAAAAGACCAAATTTAACCCTTTTTAGATTAGCGTATCTTCTTCCCATAGGTCTAATCTACACACCGTCATTCATTTATATATAAGATATACTCGCTGATCCCGTGCACTTCGTTGCCCCGTTAAATGTATCAATTCTATATGTCTCAAAGTTTGTTCAATTCGTTATTTAATATTCGGTGTATGCGGTGTTCAAAATTAATCTTAACTTTTCCGTTGCCCCGAATAAAAATTCTGATTCGCAACAGTAATCTACCTGCGATAGATCGCGTACCCTGTGCTGTTTGTACGTAAGTGTATGATTTAACTCTAAAGTATCAAAGTTATACCAAGTTTATCGTTTTTACTTCATTTCGCCTACCTATAAATCCTAACCTAACATAACCGTACTAAAATCCGATGAATAAAAAAGACCAAATTTAACCCTTTTTAAATTAGCGTATCTTCTTCCCATAGGTCTAATCTACACACCGTCATTCATTTATATATAAGATATACTAGCTGATCCCGTGCACTTCGTTGCCCCGTTAAATGTATCAATTCTATTGTTAATGATTATTATAATCATTTTATACAAAATCCTATCCTAACCTAACCGTACTAAAACCCGATGAAAAAAAAACAAATTTAACCCTTAGTAAATTAACCTATCTTCTTCCCAGACGTCTAATCTACCCACAAACATTAATTTAGATATATATATATATATATATAACTATATAAATACACGGACTATAACTATACAGACTCTGGAACTACTTATTGGATCTTTTTGTATTTATTATATATATATGATATATGTATTATGTATACCTATTGACAAAAAATAATGATACAAATCAAAAACATGC